CCTCTCTCTCTCTCTCTCTCTCTCTCTATCTCTCTCTCTCTGTCGCTCGCTCTATCTATCTGTATATCTAGATTCCGGTTTTGCAAATTCCACTGTACATCTCCGATCCTTCCAGGCGCTTCATGCGGATAAACATCGACGACTGGACCAGTCTTTTGACGCACATGGTTGAGGCAGTACTGATGTCTACTCTGCTGGGCACGGGATTCTACGATCTCAAACTGGGCCAGAGCTCTGTGAGGGACTGGTTTGGTCTCATGTTTATGGTCTGCGTCATGTACCCTTACATGATACTCTTGGGACTCATCGGCAGATGTAAGGTTTAAATCGGTCTTCGTTGATGTAATAAGTCAGCCAGCGTCATTTCACAGTCCCCCTTATCAATTTCTAGGGTTTTCTTTTAAACGTTATTATTCGAAATAAGTTGTGTCTTCAACTGTTGTTTCGTTTTCCTTTGTTATTTTCACGACTTAGTTTTTATCTTAGGTTTTTTCCCCTAGTTCTTATGGAAAAATCACAATTTACTTAGTTATTGTTCTGACTCTGGCGGGTTTATTTTCTTTCTTTTTTTTAAAACATTTATTTCTCAATACTTCAGAGCAGTATGACTTTGGGGTCAGTGCAATGACGCTTACCATTTAGATCATCCTGATGTCGAGCTACTCAGACACTGCCTGTCATGGCCAATGGTGGTGGATAGGGATGATAAAAAATTCCGGCAGAAAGATCGAGTTAATGGAGTTTTTAAACAAACTTCCGCACTTGGGAATCGAACTCACGTCTTCTTCGCTGGCTTCAGTGTTTGTGTCAAGTACTAACTTACCAATACATTTTCACGGTATATTTGTAAGAAACATGAGGCGTATTATATATTAACTTTCACTTTTATTAAGTAACATGGACAATCTCAAGTATGGAAGATCCCGACCCCTTTCCCTTAAAAAAATAATAAGTGTCTATACCAGGCAGCTTCAGGTTATGTCCGACACATTTCTCGTATCTTTTAGATCTTGTTTGTATGTTTACTGTGGGCCATATGTAACTGTACTTGTTAATTTTCTATGCTCCCATCAAAACAACTTTGGTTATTTAATAAGCGGGTTGCTTCGACCCTGCGTGTCAAGACCAACGAAGGTGACATTTGAACCCAAGGTTTCTGCCTATGATGTTGATGCGTCTTACTGATATAGTACTGCTACTCCGCAGATGACCGATTGCTAGGATCAGAAAAAGTACTTCTGTGATCCCCGTAGAAGTTGCCACATTGTATCTAATTGGTGTTTCGTCTCTTTTTGCTCTGTAAGGGTATTAAAGAGACAGGATCACTCCAAATATAAAGGCAACCTCTGTTAAGACCTGACAAATTAATTAGGACAAAGCCTTAAAAACTTGCGAAACGACCGACATTCTTTAACGCCGCATCAGGGATTCGGACCAGATTCATCCACATCATACAGACTTCAACATAAGTTAAGGACCACCTTTACAGACAACCTTGAATTTTTAAAAATCCGAAAAAAAGTCAGCAAGGAATGTTTCAAAATATTTTGCTCTGAAAGTGTTAATGGGATACCAATGCGTACTGCAAAGCTTCCTCAAGGGGCAAAACCACCACGTGCAGCACGGAAATTCTTGGGAAATTTAGCCGAATTTGCTGTTTGGTGCGACACCACGGACATTCCTCAGTTAAAATTTCAGATGCACGTCATAAACGGACGTATGGTCTCGAACTGTGCTCACTTTGGTGGCGATATAAGCCGCCGTTTGCGCAAAATCCAGTATCACATCAGCATGCCACCAAGACGAAAGCTGAGAGTCTTTGATCGTGCCAGAGCTATGGCATGGCTGCATGATGGAGTTGGAGCCCGAGAAGTTGCCAGAAGGCTTACAGTGTCCCACTGTCTTTGTCCGCCTGAGGTAGCCCCATCACGTTACTGGATCAGTCCAAGAATGCCCACGTGCAGGTCGACCCAAGAAGACCACTCCGAGTGTTTGCAAGTGGTCCTTAACTTATGTTGTAGTCTAACATGATGTCAACTGAGAACAGTAGTAACTTGAAAACTTGGATTCTTTTTGCACATCCATCTTTCTGTTTGCCTTCAGGATTGACTAATACACAAA